AGTTGTCTTGTTTTCTTAAAATTATTGATCTTAAAAGTATCAAGAAGGCTAGAAATCAGATGTCATAGGCTATTAATTTTTATTTCAGAAGGATTAGTTTTGCCCCAGGCTACAGGTAACCTCTTCCTCAGACAAGTATCTTTGACAAATATCTGCATTTGCCACAAGAGAACCACTTTCAGATCTACTACAAGATCCAAGTTAATGGTATATGAAGCCATAACATTCTCTCTTGTTTCCAAGATGCCTCAGTGGTTTCCTGCTCAGAATTATCTTTTCTTTTTGAAAGCTCCATTCCTTTAATTCCTAAATCCATCCCCACAGCTAAGCGGGCAATAGTGGACCCTCAGCTCTGCTTAGAGCAAAATCAGATTCATATTTAGTGTTATAACTTAGACAAATATTAAATGCATTGTGAACTCTGTTTATGTGCTTGCTTAGCTGACACAACTAAGAACATGGAGACAGACACGAGTGGTTTCAGTCATTTAAACCCACATTGCCTTGCAGCAGCCAATGTAAAATTTGCTTTCTTTTTGCATCACGTGGCAACTGGTTTTGATTGCTAATTGTTAAGCCTACTGCTGCTCTGAGCCTTCTTCACCTTCTCATTTTCTCTCATGCAAAAAACCCTAAAATATGTATAAAAATATTGTTTGCGGATAACCTCATCACAAAGCATCACTTACTCCCATTGTTCAGTGCCACCTGGAGAAAAGAATGAAGCCAAATTCTTTTTGATCCATCAAAATTGTATTTGTCTCATCTCCTACCTTCGCAAGCAGTCTGTGAGAGTGGTGGTGCCCGATACATGGCTTTCCCCATTTACAACACTGCCATCACTCCCTGGACTCAGCGGCCAGAACGGGGTGGAGGAGCCTGGCAAATCCAAACTGATGTCCCAAAATGGGTCTATCGTTGTGGAAACGCCACTATGAAAAAGAAAGCAGTTTAATATATGTTTAAAAAAAGCAAAATTAACAGTCTCTCTCACTTTAAGGTGCACTCCAGACACTTACTTTTAAGAACTATGGGATCTACGTCACCCCTAGAGGGCACTCAAAGATGACAGAAAATAAAGTTGCTCCAGAGTGTTTTCCCACAACTGATTGTTTTCCTGAATATTTAAAAGTCTTATGTTTTAGGAAATGTACGTGATGCACTAGATGCAAAATATATGCATTTAATACATTCTCCCAACTCACTGGAAGGAGCCCTGTGACTCAAAGTGAACAAGCGGGGTTACTCAGAGATAGAGGTACTGGTCATACTATTGACCAGTACAAACCAGCTAACGTCTATGATGATAGTTACGTGCAATCCAACTAGTTTAGAAGCATGGTTCTCTGGTTAAGACATGGAAGATGGTGTTTAAGGCTACTTTGATAAAGAGAGAGGCAAATACTTTTGCTATACAGCAAAGTTCACTGTCACTGAATTAAGCTTTGCAGTTTGTATTAGCATCTCCTACAGCATTTGGAATTTGAAAGGCCGAAGAATAAATGCATCAAGAAGTAGTGTAAGTTCTCAATCAGATTTCTCTACAAGACAGCTGAAGACAAGCCAACAGCTAGACTATGGAAAAAGCTTCTCAAAATTTTAACTCAAATCTTTTCTTCTAGCATCTACATTTTAAAGAGAACTCCAGAATTTCAGGGGTCTAAGCTCCTCATTTGGAAGCATTATCTGTTTGCATGTTATGCTTATTTTTTAAGTGTTCTCTTATACTAAAGCTAGTGTCTTTCACTCTGTGATCTCATTAAGCCTACAATATTCTGCCTTTTTTCCAGCTTCATTTGTGTAAAAGTTGTCAATTTCCAAAAAAAAACATCTTTTGTTAAAGTTTCATCAATGCTAATATGATGTCATAACACATCAAGCTTTTTATTATCGTATAAGGATTCTGTGGCTTTATGAGGCACAGAACAAAATTTCATGTTTTCCTTACAGTAAATCTTCTGCAAGTTTCTCCAGGAAACTGAGAATAAAAGCAGATTCAAACAAGCACAGCACAACAGTCCATCTGTGGGACAGCGTAAGTAATTATACAGAATAAAAAAAACCAAGAACTCTTGACTTCTGCACTATAGGAGCACCAAAGATCTTGAAAGAGAAGTCAACTTGCTCCAGTACACAGAGTAGAACAACAAATACATTTTTCCTTACTCTTGTAAAACATTCACTTGCTGATACCTGAGATTACATTAGGCATCAGCCTCTTTGAAACCATTCCTGATGATACATGAGGCTCCTAACTGAAGGAAAACACGGCTGCATATCAGAATTTTCTTCAAATGTAGAGGCAATTACATACTTTCAAAACCAAAGAGATCTTGGGAGTCTTCTCAGAACTTGGAAAAGACCAATCTTTTACAGAATAGTAAAAAGTTTATGTCCTTAAGCCTGTGATGCTTTCCAGGTAGCTTTTTTGGTATGTCTTAATATCAGACAGTTAACTAGTAATTGATTGCATTTAGCTGATGCTGTATTCAAACAGTTCTTGTCTTGCTGGAATTTTGCTGGTATTTTACTGGTATTGAAAAAAGAAAAGATTCAGTACACTGCTGCCCATCAGAGGGTGTACAGATTCAAATCAGAGTACAGAATCAGAACAACATGACTTACTGGCAGACTTGACAGGTAACGTCAGACTGCAGTCCGCCTGTGAAGATTTGGTCTATGATGCAGTTACAGTGGTTGGGGTTGTTGGCCTTCTTCCCGTTATCATCACCTGGAGGAATGCAAACACAGACACAGAAGTCAAAAATCCTTTGAAGGAATAGTGGTTTGTCTTGGACTGTGCCTCCAGTAACTCTTTATAATGCAAACTTATAAATATACTGCAAGTTCACATAGAAAATATAGAACCTGGAAAATGTTGTGCACTGAAGGAAAAACAAGGAAACAAGAAGAGAATTCCTAGAAAAATAGGAAGGATAATCAGAAGGTGACTAAATGCAGTTAACTGCTGTAGAGGTGAAGTTTTAAGCCATATCAGCCATCAGCCAAACCCTTTTTCAGGGTATAGCACTATCTCCCTTCACAGAGATGTGCTTTGCACTCTGGTATAAAGATCAGTTCCTAAGACGAAGGAGTTGCCAAGTTGGTTGATGAAAATGAATATTTCAACTTCATTTAAGAGCACCACCATGCAGCATTTGTATCTAAACAAATGGCCAGCTCTTTTCCACAGAAACACTAGTTTTTGCTTAGGCAGAGTATTCAATAACACATGATTTCCCTAGATGAACAGAGAGGAGAAATGTCAGCAAATGCTACTTTTTAATTCTATCCCAGTCAACTTCTGAGATCAGAGTGAGGGAAGGAGGTTTGTTAAGACCCATTAACCTCCAGCCTGCTGTCTGCATCCTGTCCTTTCAACATAAACGTGTACCTTCTGTTCAAGTTGGCACCAGTGAGAAAATGAAAGATGTCCTTATCTGAAGTGGGAAGATAAGTGCTGTGTCCTCCTCCGGCTTCTTCAGAGACACAGCAATCCTCTACATTCCCAAGGGGCACAATGGACGCATACCCATCTTTTAACCATTATAAACTGTCACTGTAGGTCTCAGGAGCACAGCAATTCAGTTTTATGATTTGAGTGCTGAGATTAGGCCAATTCAGCTTTTTTTACATCAACCAGAGCATTAAATAACCAAAAATTTCTTGGCACAGTTCTCAACTTTAAAGCATACTCCTTCCATTCCCCGTAGGTGAACTAGGAGGGATACAAGATTCTTTGCTTTCCAAGACTGTACTGCTTATTTCCTTGGTTAAGGTAGAGACAATTGGGTTTGCTTTGTAAACAGAGATACACATACAAACTATTTCACAGCACCAGCTAATTATTTTGTAAAGTACATCTTAAGATGTCTTCCAATCTCCTACAACAGAAACTGCTAAGACAGAATCAAGTTTTGCCATATTTAACTTACTACGAACTATTTCAGTTTCAGAAATCATATACTAAAGATGCTGACTTCTCAAATCAGAGCTATTACTCAAAAATAATTAATTTCTAGTCAAGCATTTTAAAAAAAACACCTAAAGAAACTAAAAGCATAGGGCAAAAGCCCACCACTTCTCTTGTGTCTATGATGCTCTAGCTGGAGTCTTCTTGCAGCAGAGAGGAATGAGATTATTTCCCCCAACTCCCCCCCAGTGAAGCTTTAGAATTTTCTTGGCAAATATTAAGTAAACTCATAAAGGTTCCACCTGATACTAAGTGTGCAAAAGTAGACATAGGTGTTACCTGCTAAGCTGCACTGGGCCACTGCAATTAATTAGATCCTAAAGGCCTCAGAAAAGCTGTCACTCAGCTGCCTGCTTTAGAAACTTTTGTTTGAATTGTCCAGAAAAGCATATTGTTTCCTTAAAATGGCTCTTGAACAAAATCCTCTAAAATTAAATTTCAAATGTACAAGGTTCAAGTTAGGGGTTATCAGACCAAGTCTCAGGCATTTCTTGATGGGAATTTCAGCTAAAATCTTACTGAACTTAAGATCTTTTTAAGGTCTCAATTATGCTAAGCCAATGAATGGAGCATAAAAAGCAGAGACTGTACAAGACATTCTTCACTTTTATAAAAAGATCACTTATAAGCTTTAAAGACTACATGTGGATTTTCAGAAAAATGATTTAATTGTTTTTATCTTGGTTTTTAAAACTCCACTTTTCCTTTTTAAAGAAACAACAGGCAACTGCCGCAACTCTGTAATCTCACCATTGGAAACATTATCTCCCTCTGTTTTGTTTCAAGGGGGTAAAAGCAGAGAAACAGCATCTAGAGATTTTCCCTGGACCACAGGTAATATCCCTGTTGGACACCTTTAACAGACAACCGTTTCCACCTACGGGAGAGAACAAATACTCCCTTTTCAATTATACCAGTCAATTAGGATCAGTGATGAGAGGGTCTCAAAAGAATATCCTGCGAGCTTGTTCCCAGCAAAACAGAAGGGCATTACCCACTCAACATTATTTCCCATGACATTTGGTTAGAAAAGAGATAAAAAAAAAAAAGAAAAAGGAAAAAAAAATATTACCACCTACTCACACTTGTCAATATGTAACAGATGCTGAGAGGAGGTATATTATGCAGCTGAGAACTAGAAGCTGCTAGATTGTTGTGCTCAAGTTAAGGTTCCCTTCAACATTTCTGTCTTACAAAGCAGGTTTTAGTTTCATATATTTTTCTTTTTAAAGCTGGTCATAATTCCTACTAGGGAAATTAACAGCTTCTTGTAAGTGAAGCACAAGACTAAAACCTAACTTGAAAATCCATTGGTATATACACTAATATAATTATGAGAATGGTAGAAAATTGAGTTTAAAAGTTTGCATTCAAATTAAATGCAACTCCTCTTAAAAAAAATAAACAGAAGTTACTACTGTGTCTGTGCAATAACTAAGCATATTAACTTGTGGTCAAATATATACACATTTATAAAAATAAAGGTAAATAACAAAGAACAGCTATAGATTACTTTTTAACATTGCTATTGTTTTTGAAATAAAAATAAAGAAGTTTTTGCCTCCAACTTACAGTATTTATTTTAAATGAGAAAAAAGATTTTTATATTGCCAGATTCTAAAAGGGGCATTTATATAAACAAGACATTAACGTTGACTTTTCTGCTTTACTTTGGCCTCTCATGTTCTGAGCGTGTGATTGTTATTCTTTATGACAAAGCAGTATACACATGAATTTATATGGCTCATGTTTCACAAGCATACGTTTTATCAGTCCCCATGAATGTCCTGCAGAACTCACAGAGCAGGGTAGTATTTTACTCCCAAATCTCAGCCCAGCATTCTTTCTCTGTTATGATACCTAGCACCAGGCTTCACATTTGCTTTGTAGCAGTCCTTCTTAAAGATGAATGCAAAATGCTTCATGAAAACCAGATAAATGAGGAATAATCAGCTTTAAAGTACTACTCTCTTTTGTTAGACAACTGAACAAGATTGTCTGAATAAAGTTTAGGATAAAAACATAGGATTACTTCCATTTTTTTAATCTAGCTTTTTGAACCTTTGTGAACAAATGCCCATCTCTGTCACTCTCTGCTGCTTGATTGTTGGTGCTCTTTTAATAAATAAATTTAAAAAACCCCACAGCTAGTGATTTCACTAGGCTGAATATTAATTTTTGAATGGCAGCCTTGCTCCATACAAGAAAATAACAATTCTGGTCTAAGTTTCTCCAAGTTTGAATATGTCTGAGACAAAGCTAGTAAACTGCAAAGTGTTTGGATGACTGGAACCTCACTCTCATGAGAGACTGCCGAATTAAAACCCTGAATTTCTTCCAGAGCACTGATAATTAAGATACATCTGTCATATCGACTAAAAGCTGACCTAATGCTTTACAGACTGAGCAGGAACATCCATTATTTACACTCCTCTAACAAATAAGAGCCCTGGAACTCCTGAAGGATCCCATCCAAGGAGTGGGGTATATTTTGTACTTGCTCTTCATAGAAGAGTTTAAGAACGTGCAAGAAGCAACACACCAATGTCTGATCGTTTTCAGCATCTTCTGTAATCCAAACATACTCAGAGATCTAAAATCAAAGTTGTCATGTATTTTAAAGATCAAAGACAACATATGCCAATGTCCAGGTGAATGGTCAGACTTCAGTACAAAGAAGGTGGCCATTAGCTCTCCAGCAAGGCTGTTCATAGCATTACTCTGGAGAAGAAGCCAATATCTGATGAACAGTAAGCTCTGAATCTCATTTGGAATCTTTTGTGGTGAGATGGACCACAAATGCCAATGTCCAATGACACTGCAGAATTCTGAGCACTATCAAACCAGCAAGAGAGACCAGAACAGCACAAAACGCAGGTACAACTTTAAATGTCATTTAGAGTAGCAACATTGGAAAAAGAATTCAGATTCAAGAAAAGCTCTTGCTTTTTTAGTTGGAGCATGCATTTAAGGACAGCCCTTGTGCACACTTTGGGTCAATGGTAGAGAAAGAAGAGTAATTAATAGCTTAGCATTTTTAAGTATTTTTTTATCAAAATACTACATTCCAGTTAGTCCATCATTCTCCAGCTGTTGGAATGAAACATAGCAACGCATAAGCATGACAGACTAGATTCCTTTTATTCTGAAATATTTTATATTACTCTAGCAGCACAGAGGAGCCCTGTTAAGTGTTCAGAATCTGCCCTGACACAGCTCAAGACAACTGTGCTCGCACAAGCAGAGCTATCACCCCGAGACATCATTTACATGGGTGATCATACAGGTACCCTGGGCTCCCAAAACGTCACAGATGCCACTAAAACAAAGTATAAATTCAACCAGCATTAAAAACCAAATAAACAAACAACTACCTGGGCCAGCCCCTATATGAATCCCAGGGTAGTTAATTTTATGCTTCATAGGATGCAGTATTACAAAACTTACCACCTTTAAATGCCCCCAAATCATTTATTTTTCCTAATTTAGGCAATGACAGTTATTAATGAGCATTCAAACCCTTCTCTGACTTGCACTAGGACACTTCCCAGAGAGCAGAATAAATGGAATGGAAAAGGGCTAAGTGACCAGTGTTTGCCAAACAAATATCACTGGACATTTATACAGTTCTTAGCATAACACTTTCACTTATTCTGGTGCCTGAAGCCTCTGTTATCATGAATAATGTCCAAAAACTACAGCTTTTGGAAAAAATCTTCCCCATACTTTATTTTACTTCACTGTGTGTTAATTGTAGTCAATTACTATTGACTGGAAAATTGAAAAGCTCTTCTGATTCAGTAAAATAAATATTTAATATTGTCAGATGAGGCATTATTTGCTTATTGTAGCTCTAGAACAAGTTCTCACTATTAGTAATAATATTTTAATGTATGTATTCTTCACATGTGTGTGTCTGTGTGCATACATAAGTATGTAAGTGGGAAAACTTTCTCATTATATAGCAAACTAGTTAATTCCAAAAGGGGATTATCATGACCATACTTGAAATTCTGGTTTAGATGAACCGGTTTGGTTCCCACACAACTGCTCAACCACTTCTTTTAAATTACCTTGATGTGGTATATATTATTTACTGTAGTTTAATAAAAGTCCATTTCTTCAGAAACAGAAATTTCAAAACCTGGGTGCACAGATGTCAGAGATCTCGTGCTAATGCCTTCCCACTAGTAGCACTGTTAACAGCTTAGTTATGTCCATACAAATAGCTCAGATTGAAGGATATCCGTTAAGTAACTGAATTTCAGTCCTTGCCTGGAATGTAAATGGCACCTTTGCCACAACCCAAAAAAGTTCAGTACTAAAGGTGCAAAAACCCCTAATTCAATTAAAGCTGTCTAAAACCATTATGAAACTTGATACCAATTCAGAGGTCAATGTTTTCAACACATCTGTGATATCCAACCAGTAGTAAAATAGTCCACACACATGCACACACTTTTTCCAAAGAATGTCTATCAGTTTTCCAAGTTTTAGGACAGATCAGAGTTTAATTTTCATTCAGGTTGGAGAGGCCAAATAGAACCAAGAATAAATAAACTGTTGAGAAAGCTTGATTTGGTGGTAGTTGCAGAAGATACATCAGACAGATTCTTTATTTAAAGCCAAACCACACATTTAAAAAAACAAAACAAACAAACAACAAAACCCCCCCACAGATTTCCAGATTCTTTGAAAAGAGAGCAGAGACCTTTACTGTTGAAAGTTTTTGCTTCATAATTCTGAGAAGAAAATATTCCTCCTTCATGAACTAATTGGGAAGTACAGAAGATATATGAACATCGTTTTATATTAAAGATGATATAAAAGCTTCAGCATTTGTTAGATCAGAAACTTTACAGGAACCATGAACTATTCTATTTGCAGCTGAGTTTATTTAGTGTTAAGAAGTGAGAAGTCAGCATGTGGACAGACTCCATTCCTTACAGGACTTCAATACTAGTTTCATTAGCTTATTGAATTTTAGTTAGCGACTGACAAATGATAGATATTAATAATTACAAAATAACTCTGTTCTATGTACTCCTGTCCTCAGAAGTACTCTTTTTGGAGAAGACTCTTTTGGAGGACACCTATTATGAATCTGAACACATCTGCTACCAGGTAAGACTATCTCAAAGATAAAAGCAAGACTTCAAAATGTTTCAAAGCAGCAGCAGCTGCCCTCCCTTTGATAGTCCTCTGATGAGGCAAAAAAACAACCTGTAAGTGCCTTTCTAAGTGCACTAGAGGCTTTAAAGCTTATTTTTAGTGACTAAGGATTTTTTGTTTGTTTTGCTATCAACCCTACTATTTTTCCCTTATAAGAAAAGTAAAAATTTCTGTGCTTAAGTGAATCAAGCTAGATCAAACATTTGAATTTTCAGTTCAGATTTAGTTAACTAAGATGAAATACATAACTTCATATGATGTTCCTAGATCAACTGAAGACTTACAATACTTCATCTCTAAAAGCATGTCACTGAATATTTTTACTGTATTGTGCAATTATGTATTTTCATATACAGACTAAAAGATACCAAAACCAAATACTATTTTTTTATTCATATTTCTGTACACAATTTGGCATAATAAATACAGCAGAATAATATTTAAGTAGAACAGCCATAGCCTCCCCTATGTTATTTTCATCAGTCCCATGACACACTGAGTAAGAGTTCTAACTACCTCAAGTATAAATAGAATTAAAATAGCAATTTAAAAGAAAAGACAATGACTCACAACCAGTAAGAGAAGAACATGCTGGTGATTCAAATCAATGTACAGTCTTGTCTGCTTCTAACTCTAGGTAATAATTTTGACAGTGGGAATGGTTTCTTAATTTATTTATAAATCTTTTCCTTTAAGTCTACCAAACATTTTAAAAGGAATTTGCTAAGACTGCTGTACTGGAAGACACTACACTTAATTTAAGAAGAGATTATTCTACCTCCTTTTGATCCAGTATTCCTTGTTGATTGGAGACTCAGTACAAGCCTTACCTTTGCAGTGTCTGTGTAGCACATCTAATGCAGCAATGAGGAACTCGTGTGCATCTTGTTGCTCGTACCCTGCTAAATGCCGTGCATGAGTCCATACCAGGTGCAATAACCTATATGGAATGTGAGGAGATCGGTGCCCAGAGTAAAACTGCTCAAAGCAAAGAAAAGGACATGACTGTTAAAAAGTTACACAGTCTCAGTGCAGTTAATTATTAAAAAACTTAAATGAGTGCAATTAGTCAAATAAAGTTAAACCATTTAATTCTGATAGCCTTAATAATAGAATACAGAGACAGCTTTTTATCATAGACTACTGAAGCAGTGATCTCAGAAATGAGCACCTCTTATTTTTTCCCTTGAAATTCCTTCATTTTGTGATAGATTAGCCTAAAATAAAAAAAGGGGGGGCGAGGGGGGAACACTCAAAAATTCTTACTGATATCACTGGCTTTTGTTAAAATAACCTGAGGGAAAAAAAAATTCCTACATTTGCAAGAGATCAGCAATTTCATTCACAAATGACATGCCCTCAAAATCAGGACAAACACTGAAAATGAGAATATCAGATGCCAACTGCCATGCAGCCCCTGAACCCAGCCACAGTAACTTACTGAATCCAATGGCTGTGCATGATCCTGTCTTATGGAAAATTTACAAGCAGGATAGCAGCCTCGTGCCAGTATTGGCCTTTCACTGTATAGCTACAGCAGCACGAGGCTTTAGGAACAGCTGTATTCAGCACAGCTGTCTGCCAGAGCTGAAGATCACTTCATTCACCTGTCCCCAAAGTCAGCCGCCCGTTACCGCTCCTGCAGGATGTCACTGCTGGAGTTCTGCTCCTGGACCAACTCCTGCATCTGCTTCTTAATCTGCTTCAGTCAAAATCTGATGAGCTGGCTACCGTAGTGATTGAAATTGCACCAGGTGATTTTGCCAGAAGCATGTTATTACAGACAAATTATTCAGTCAGCAAAACCATGATGTGAAACACTACTGCTGCGTGGTGACACACAGCTGGGGAGGTAAATCAGCACAGAAGAGGAGGACAGATAACTGCCTACAGAAATTTTTTATTTATTTTAAATAAAATCCAGCAATGTCCCACTTAAAGACAAAACAAAACACAAAAAAATGCACCAAAAATCCTGCCACGCTAAGGGTCTGTTTCCCTGGGTTGAGGCTCAGCACCTTCCTTTACCCTCTTCCCCTCTCCAGTTTCATCCAAGTGCTACTGCTGTTAACTCTTCTACTTTCATCTTCCTGGGTCCTCAATTCTGCTGCCAATTCTGGCATCCAGAGTCTGACACTAAAGCTAACAGTCCCCTTCTTGAGCAAGCTGCCTTCCATATCTGTTCGAGAACCCCTGCACCGTGATACCAGTTCCAAAAGCAAAGCAGAGATACGTGTGGTATCCCTGCAGGGAGCCAGAAAAGGTCCAGAAGAGTTTATTCACTTGGGCTTCAGACTGTTTTTAACAGGGTAACATTTTATTTTCAGTAAGTGAAAATTTCTAAGTCATTTTGCCTTCCTTAACCTTTGGAAAAGGTGTTTTGCCAGTAAAGGGTGCCTAAAACACCATGATTACATTTTGCCAAGATCCTCTCAAATCAATGGTGGTTTATTTTCAGTTACTCTTCCCAAACAGGAGACAGTAAGCAGAACAAAATAAGATTTAAAATCCCAGCAGTATATAATTTCTCACTCTCAGTGGAAAAGCAGTCTTCCTTCCCCAGCCCTGAGTTCCTCCCTGCCCAGTCTCTGAGCATTTTATATCATTGCAAGCAGAGGCATTATGCTACAAACCTGCCTAGATAAAATACATTGTATTTTAAGGGACAGATATGCAAAAAATAGTACAATCTTCTCATCTAATCCTTATTTCTGTAGGATTTTCTAATGGGTTTTAGAATATTTCCTTGCAAAGAAATTTCTTTACTGCAAGTTCTGCTTTTTCCAAACAAGCAGATATACCTCTACAGCCAAACACCACAAAATGCTTCTATAAATAAAAAGATCAATAGTTAACTCTGATGCCAACAAGAATGACACCAAGGGACTGGAGCAGTAGTACGGTAATTGAAATCTGCTGACGCAGCTGCTGCTCAACATAATTCAGGGAACTGCAGCAATAAAACTTCTCTGTTCTGTCACTCCTTACAATTAGTCCCAGAGCTCTCCAGTCATTTTAACCAACAGCACTCTCCATAATTACTCCACTGCAGACACTAGACCTGCCAGCAGATTTTTACATTCGCCAGTGCTTCATTAGGCTGAGAAAAACCTAACAAGAAGCTTTATCAAATTATTAACTATTATCACACAGAAACTAGAAACATACCTAGTAAGAAAGCTGTTGAAAATACATGGGGGTGAGGGAAAGGTTCACTATTCTAACAAATCAAAAATGAAACAAAAGAATCTGAGCATACTCAATAGCAATATTTTAACTGGAACGTATAAAACATCCATCCCCATCGCTGTCATTTCCTTGTTGCTGGGAAGAACAGCCTATCAGAGCTACTCCAATCCACAAAAAGGAAAAAAAGTCCATGTAAAGTCTTATATTATACAAACCTTTTCATTAAAGTGTGCAAATATAAATAATGAAGTATTTGCAAGTCATCTTTAAAACACTACAGTGGCACAATTCTTCCAAATATTATTTAAAACTATTTCTATTTAAATTTCTTTTCAATTCAGCAGTATCAGTTATTTATATTGGAGAGAACTAGTTTAAGCAATTTTAAAATGCTTGGTAATAGACTGTTTAATTGCTGTTCCAGGGAAGGAAAAAAAAAAGAGAAAAAGAAACCAAACCAGGATTCAAAGCCTCCACGCTTACACACAATCCCAGTAACATTAACTTTTACTTTTTGCACTTGAACATTTGCTGTTGTATCCTAAGAGGAAGAATCTATAGGGGATTTAGAGGATTCTAGGCTTTGTATTTTGCATTATTGTTACCAAAAATATACAGATACTAGTCAGGTTTAAAAAAATAAACCACCACCACACACATCTGCACTCCTCCTGCCAAAAAATATATGCACAGAAGTTTCCCAATTATGTGAACAAACAGATACACAGGATCTATGCTGCATATGTATCAACTAAACAGTCCTCAAGCTTTGAAATCAATAAACTACAGGCATAAAACCTGTCCCAGGCTCCAGTCCAACTGCAGAAGGTAAAACCTCCTCTTAGAAATTGGTTCCCAATTAAGTCTAGGTGTTCTGAAAGTTTACAGTGGATAAAGGGAGTGGGTAATACATGTTTCTTTCAGAAGAAAAGAACATCTATTAGAGGTTTCCCAACAAGGAGCAATGGTTCAAGAAATAAGAAATTTTGCTTGCATGCACTCTGTATGTTCTATACTTATTTCAGAGAAAACATTATACTAAATCAGCACAAACTCTGTATTATCCATCACAAAATGCAAGGCCTCTGTCTACATAAAGAGCTTTAACTACTTCTTCTCCCTTGTACCTTTGTTGTAACTTATTTTATACATAAGCCATTTCAACAGTGTACCATCTTAAGGTATCAAAGCCATAAATCACCTCATTTTTTTTTCCTCTTTGTCCTCACTTCTCAACTCTCCACATAGTTGTGCTGTGCACTTTGATAGGTTCATGAGGATGAGTAACGATGGGAATAAAGCAAGCTTTGTTCTTTACATCTCTGAGTGGATGCACTGCATTCTGCTATACTCCCAGGTATTCTTGCTTATTTCAAGTCACAGAGTACACCAAGATACAGGTCCGCTAATCCTACCATCCTGAATGGTTATTCTGTAAGTGATTTGGATCAATCTTAGGGTGTGGACCATCCTGAAATTTAATTTTCATTGACAAAGCAAGACTAAAACACAAATACCAGTAGGTAAAAAGCAGTGAACAAACCCTTTCAGCCAAAAGGCTCAATGAACAGATTCTGTGTGTTCTATCTTCCCTCCATCCAGTTTCACCACTATCTTGCTATTCCCAAATCCTTTTCATTCCTTTTCTTATGCAGTGTAATTCATGTCATGGTTCTATTGAGAAATAGGTTTCAAGTAGCACAAATGAGAATGTTAATTGATGCAGTCAGATATTTTTAAAACAAACAGAGATTCAATGCTTGGCATATTCACAAGAAAAGCTACCAGGAAAAAAAAAAAAGCCTCAGTTCTAAGAACCATCTGACACTCATTACTCACCATCAATCTACTTCAAGGTAGAACAACTTTGTAGCTTCCTATTTATCACAGAGAAATCACACAGCCTATATAACTAAATGATCTTTAAAAAAAAAGGGGAGGGGAGGAAGATAGGAGACACAAGTGCTTTCTGTTTAAGAAGCAAAATAGCAAAACTTGCTTAAATATGAATAGTAAATTTCATTTAATGTTCAAAACAGGCTCTTTTTCTCCTGGAGAGTTCTTACTGGCATGTATTCACCAGATCCCCTAACATTCCATTTGCCTAAGATCACACCTTCAGAAAAGAAGGGTGGAGGGGAGATGAAGTTAACCCTTGCCCCGATCGTTTGTCACTGAGTAAGATGCCTTGGGATAACCACATCAGTTAATCCTGGTGGGAAAGCTACTCAAAAACAAGACAGAACCTGAACCAAAGTTTCCCCAGTAATTCAGTTACAAAGGAATTCTTAACCACAGCAGTGAAATCTCCACTGGTTAGCCTTCCTTCGTTCAGACCTCATCTCTGCACAGACAGCGCAGGAATCTTCATCATAACCACTGCATATAGTTGGGAGATGAAAGATAATCAGTCTGATCCAAAAAAAATGCGTGTTTTTGGTTTTAATTCTGAATGTAGAGAAATTAAAACTCACTGGGAAACAGAATTTTACAATGAGTGCTGAGAGAGCTATAAACATAACGTGGTATTTACTGCTTGCAAGTTAAAATACACAGAGTTGGTTACAGACATGACAGTTTTGCTGGTGGAGGACTAAGCTCTGGTTTTACTTCAAGGTGGTTGAGTCACTTTTTCTTGTCCTCCCACAACACTTTCCTGCAACATTTCAATGTGAAATAAGGACAGAGACTACTGTAATGCTATGTTCACAGTCTGATATCACAGATATGGCTCTTCCCTCATTCAGATACCCTCATGTCACAGAACATTAATTATTAGAACTAATGCAAGTGTAGGCATGAATTTTGATTGGGGAAAATGAAGGCTGAGATTCCCAAAGTTGTGTATGAAATCAAAGTTGATTACAATTGAAACTAAGGAGAATGTTGCATTTAAGCCCCATTTTGGATAAAAGCCCGTTCTTTGTTACATGCCTGTACGTAAGTCTAGAGAAAGACATCCTAGGCCATCAGAGCTCCACAAACAAAAATGGAAATAAAACCCATTACCTAGACAGCCTTGATCTTTCCTCCAGCCTCTCAATCTGTAATGCAATACTCATTTCCCCCTTCCCAAGGGATTTTTTAAAAAATGTACATGTGTAAACAGCATGCAGTGATACTAATCAGAATGAGGCTTTATAGCACAATTTGATGAAAGGATATCAAGATTATAACAGAGTCTTTTTTTGAAAAACAAGCAAATAGGTTTCTGTATTAACAGTGTACAGAAACTGGTATTTCTACACCATGACTGATTTTTTTTTTTTTTAATTAATCTAGCAGTGATATTTCCCCATTTAACTGCACATCTGGTTTCAATAATCCTGCAGCTGCTACCTATTGGTACGCCTGCCTTTTGTTTTTACCTTCCTTCCTCACAGACTCAGGAATAATTGAAAAATAAATCAAAAAACAGTAAGTATAACATACAACTAATGCCTGATAAACAGCATGAAAAGTTGCAGATTCACATGAGCAGAAAACAACTTTGTACCAGAACGGTTAAGGGGGACTTTATCTTCCACATATGTTTAACTCACCTGCAATGACCAAAAAGAATAACCTCTGGTGAAAAAGGCACAGAAGTAAAATCAAATTGAAAGCAACAAGATAAAGGTAAAGCTATTTTAGGTTGGTCTCAGTTTGAATGAACTTCCATGACAGCACATACACAAAAGACATGCTCTGCATAGAGACTCTCCAGCTATCTCAAATGTGGAAGCATGTACTATAGCTTTTTTGGGGGGTTTGGTTGGGGGTTTTTTTGTGTGTGTGGTCTTGTTTGTTATTTTTTTGGGTTTGCTGTTGTTGTTTGGAAATTTATTTTTTTTTTTACTTATCAAGAAAGCAGATCTACTGCTGAGAAAAAGGCACAGGACTGGATTTGTTTGTTTGTTTAGACTCATCTTAAAACTAGAAGCCCATGTCCAGCCATAGTCCTTACATTTCTGATATGGAACTAAGATAGTTTAAAAAGCTGTTTTGGCTATTTATTGATGAAAACATTATGCCTACCTCATTCAGCACAAACTAGATCTACAGAGAAAGACAAATTGCAAAGCCAGTCACCTCAGTGAGAAAGGTAAAGAGCAGCTGGTACATGAAAGGTACAAACTGTACCAACACATTCACTTTTCTACATCTTCTTGGCCGTTAATGGGTTTCCACTTAAGAGATGATAGCAAAGATGTTTCTCCCTGTTAGAAAGCACTGAATTGAGATCTTTAAAATATTTATACAGAATACATAATCCAGTACTATCATTTTATTCTTCCTCCCATTATCACCCAAAGAGCCTGTGACATATTTTCCAGTTACAAGTTGCACCTTTAATTAAAGCACGCATTCAGCTTTAAGACTAAAGACTTGCAGATCAGTCTCAGAAGAGAAGGCAGCACTGTAATTATTTCCAATACCAGCTTTGCCTAAACAAGGATGATGTGACTTAGGAATAGGACTTAAAAGGCCAAGAGTTCCCTTTTCAGCAGTCGGGTATTTTTGACAGTAAGGTCTCAATCTTTACTGCTCTGTTTTACCACATCTTGAGGGTAACGTAATTTGCATTCCCTTTGTATCTGCAAACAGAACACAATCCCTTTTGGGGTAAGAAACTGCCAGCACCTGTGGAAAGGTGATGTTGTTGTGGCAAACAGCACTCACCTCCTGAAAAAGCGTAGACATTTCACAGACCAGGCATGAGCTGGGGCTTTGCATTTCACATTTGTGCCTGTCGGAGAGGAAGAAATCTCGCAGCAGTGGAGTGTGGGTAAGTGCCTGGACAATACAGTTCATAAAACATGTGTTCCCAAGATTGATTAGCCCTCGTAGACCTATAAAGACAGAAGGGGGAGGGGATGCATAAGCATTATCAAGTTAACAAAACGGTATATTTGCATTTTTATATAGTTTTCACAATACTGCCACAGATTTACTGTATATGCACAGCTCCAAGCACACAGTTTTATGTTTTAGGTAGGCTATTGGTTTTGATGTACTCAAGGCACAAGCTGCCACAAGCCTTCTGACCTACACTAGGATTTATTTTAAATTCTCAGAACAAAGGAAACCTCAAAGTACAGCAACACCAAATAGCACTACTGTCCAATGGCTGTTGTGCCATACGTCACCAAAACGTGCCCCCTTCCCAAGCTGATACCAAAGTGCAATGACAACTGGTTAAACTCACTATAGTACGAACCAATACACTTAAATAAATCAATAAGTAAGTTTTAGATAGTTTAAAAGGCTTTCCCTCATGCAGGTCACGAAGCCAGAATAAAGTTTTTGTACTGTTATAATGCAACAATCATCTAAGACAGGCAGCAAAGGAAACAGCCTTGACAGAACAAAGTCAGGCTGTGACATCCAATGCAGACACAGCATATCCTTTTTTTTTGTACAAAACCCAAGATCTGAACCAGACAACCTTAAAGAGAAACTCTGAACAATACTAGTTCCACACTTGTTTTAGCTAAATTAAACATTAATCTACAATATACATAAAAAAAATTCAACTTGGCATAAGAGGATTCATCACACCTTAAGTCAAATGTTCAGTAATGCCCAGAGCTGATTTCTTGTACTTGGAAACCAAGATGCTTAAAGGAAAGCTCTTTTGTTGCACAACAGAAGAGAGGTTAGGAGTGGGGAAAGCTTTTCAGTCATTTGCAAAGTCTAAGCGAGAAGAAAAACATGCTCAAATCCTTGAGTATTCTTCCAAAATGTTAACATAATACCACCATACAAGAGTGCTAAATGAGAAGAGCATCAGGTGGACAAGAATGCCTATTTTTAATCAAAAACTTACTTTGAAAGAAGATAAAATGCACTGATAGATACAATACTGGCTTTAATTTAAAAGTAACATAGTCCTTTTCTGCAATATAAATGGGATTACTACACAAACAGTGAATGAAAAAACAGGATTATTTGACAGAGAATGAAGAATTTCCTTGCCATTCCACAGGAAAGGAAAAAAAACAAGTATCAGCTGGCAATGCTGTGGTAATTAAAACTGGTGCAGTTCCCTTGCAGTACACCAGATAGTGCTCAAAGGGCTCTTTAGCATCTTTC